CGCTGTGCTCAAGTGAGCACTAGCCTTGAGCAAAAGAAGCTCAGGTACAGTGCCTAGGCCCAGAGTTCAAGCCCTACAACTGGCAAAAAAAAAAAAAAAAAGTACAGGAGATTCTTATCTTCCAATGAACCAATGAACCACCAAAAGAAGCCATAAGTAACACTGTGACTCAAGTGACAGAGCACCAGCTGTTTGCAAAAAAGCTCAAGGACGGTGCCCAGGCCCTGAGTTCAAGCCCCAGAACTGATTATATATATATATAAAGAGAGGGGTAACAATGTTTGATAGGAAATGTATTCATTACCTCACTCATGTAACTGTAACCCCTCTCTACAGTATCTTTACAATAAAAAATGTATATTAAAAAATCAAAAATATAAAGAAAGAAAGAAATGAGAGGCTGGTCCTCCCTTCCCCACTACTGGGAGCTTCCTGTGTATTTTTGAGAAACAAATGTAGGTTTTTCTGCATGTCTTCTCCCTCTTTGCAGAAGTCTAACACCTGCAGTTCCGGGAGCTGCCACACGGGGCCGCACGCAGACACCCACACCTGCGGTTCAGGGCGCTGTCCTGGTACCTGGGTGGTTGGGCAGAGTCCTGGTGGCAGCAAAGGTGGCCCCAGATTCCTGCGCCCAGCGCCACCAGGGCTAGCTCAAGGCGAGCGCTCTACCACCTGAGCTACAGCGCCACTTCCGGTTTTCTGGTGGTTTATTGGAGATAGGAGTCTCACAGTCTCTCCTGCCTGGGCCCCCCACAGCCAGCACCACCAAGACAGAAGATGGTTTGAAGGGGAAAGGCCCTCAGGGCCCCTGGCCAGGGGGTTGGGGAGGGGCTCACCTGAGAAGGTGGAGGCCATCACAAGGGAAGAAACAATCTGAGCCTCAGCTGGGCACTGGTGCTCACGCCTGCCATCCGAGGTGCTCAGAAGGCTGAGATCTGAGGGTCACCTTTCAAAACCAGCTGGGGCAGGAAAGTCCATGACTTTTTTTTTTTTTTTTTTTGCCAGTGCTGGGGCTTGAACTCAGGGCCTGGACACTGTCCCTGAGCTTCTTTGGCTCAAGGTTAGCGCTCTACCACTTGAGCCACAGTGCCATTTCTGGGTTTTTTTGGTGGTTAACTACCCAGACTGGCTTTGAATTGTGATCCCCAGATCTCAACCTCCTGAGTAGCTAGGATGACAGCCGTGAGCCACAGCATCCCCGCTCCCAGGCCAGCCAAAGACAACAAAGAGCCCCTGGAGTCTGGAGACACACCACCCCCTTACCCACCAGGGGCCCTGTGTCTGTGTGTCTGAACCAGGGAAGCTTAACTCCACCAGGAGAGGTCTAGTGACTGCCAGGAGATGTGCAGAAAATCTGTGAGAACAGCTGAGCATTCGAATCCAGGGCTGTACAGTTAGCAGGAGCCCCAGCCCCAAGCTGCAGGTGCTGTGACTGATGTGGGGCCCCCTGACTCCCCTCCAAAATCTTCTCCACGCACAGGCTCTGCTGAGGCCTGGGATGCCAGCTGCATGGGCCTGGAGCCGTGCCCGCTGCTTCTTTTCCCTGGCAGCTGCCATAGCACGGCCTGGCACCTGCCCACCCCAATAGCTGTGCCCCCACCGCAGCGCGTGGCGGGGGGGTGGCAGGCCACACAGCCCAACTGCACCCTAGAAGCGGCCACGTGCCCTGGCCAGCTGGTCAGTGCTGGCCAGGGCCTCCGATGGGGGCTGGGCATGTGCACAGGGTGGCTGGAGCCAGGCATTGGGGGGCGGGGAGGGGAAGGGGCCTGGCCAGTAAGAGGAGGTCAAGGCGGGGTTCAGCGTGGCCCTCCCTCCTCTGGAAGGTGTTGTGGCTGGCTTTGGGATCTCTGTCCAGCTTTAAGAATCCACTGCTCTTCATTTTGGCTTCTGGAATGTTCTGCCATGGCTCTGATGAGTTGGAAAGACTTCAGGGTACAGCAGTTCTCAGAATCGGGGAATCTCCCTCTCACCACACCCTCCCCTGCCCCAAACTTTATTTTGGGGGGCTGTTCCACCTTCTTTCCATGATGAAGACCCCAAGCAGCCCTGTAGAGACTCATTTGAGATCCTGTGACATTTTCAGTGCTAGATAGACTGTAAAAATATTTGATAGGATGTAGAAAGACAGGAAGAGGAGCCAAGTGCTGGTGGCTCACTCCTGTAATCCCAGCTACTCAGGAGGCTGAGATCTGAGGATTGAGGTTCAAAGCCAGCCGGGGCGGGAATGTCCAAGAAACTTTTTTTTTTTCAGTCATGGGACTTGAACTCTGGGCCTGGGCGCTGTCCCTCAGCTCTTTAGCTGAAGGCTAGCGCTCTACCACTTGAGCCACAGCGCCACTTCTGGTTTTCTGAGTGGTTTATTGGAGATAAGAGTCTCCCAGTCTTTCCTGCCCAGGCTGGCTTTGAACCTCAATCCTCAGATCTCAACCTCCTGAGTAGCTAGGATGACAGGCGTGAGCCACCATCGCCTTGTCGAGAAACTTTTTTCTCCAGTAACCGCTCAGAAAACTGGAAGTGGTGCTCTGGCTCTAGTGGTAGAGTGCTAGCCTTGAGCTGAAGTGCTCAGGGACAGCACCCAGGTCTAGAGTTCAAGACCCAGGGCCAACCAAACCAAACCAAACCAAAACAACAAAAGATAGCATTGCTAACATTCCTGCCGTTTAGCCCACCCCTGCAGCCCAGCCAATAAGAGTGTGACAAGACTGGCTTGCTATATGTT